GCTATCAAACAGAGAACAGGTCTAATGTGCACTTCTAAAGCACAGTGCTGTGAGCTCAATCAGGCACCTATAAAAATTAAAGCTCACATCTGGCAAGAAGGGGGTGAAGCACATCTCAACATAGTTTCAGTGGACAGTAAATGCCTGACCACTAGTTCCAGTAAACTGAGGAATTAGCAGCATGCATATAACCTCCCGTATGAAAACAGGCTGAGAAAGTCAAGGCTGTGTGGAGACCTCATAGCAGCCTTCCAGTATCTGAAGGGGGCCTATAGGGATGCTGGGAAGGGACTCTTCATTAGGGACTGTAGTGATAGGACAAGGGGTAATGGGGTCAAACTTAAACAGGGGAAGCTTAGATTGGATACAAGCAAGAAGTTCTTTACTGTGAGGGTGGTGACGCACTGGAATGGGTTGCCCAGGGAAGCTGTGAATGCTCCATCCCTCGCGGTGTTCAAGGACAGGTTGAACAGAGCCTTAGGTGCCATGGTTTAGTGGGAGGTGTCCCTGCCCATGGCAGTGGGGCTGGAACTGGATGATCTTAAGGTCCTTTCCAGCCCTAACTATTCTATGATTCTAACCTGGGCACTATTCAAAGAAATTAAGTATTAACCCACACTGCTCTCTAGCTCCTCAGTTTTTAGTATTAGGCCTAATAGCTACCAGCAAACCCAGTTCTTCTCCTGCATCTTTGCAGAAGAGGTGGTTTCTATGTTTCACAAAGCTAAGAGCATCTACCATATGGCACTGTCAGGCAGTCACACAGCTCTTCTAGACATTGAGCTCAGATTCTTCAGTGACTCCAGAAACAAGATCTAGAAAGACCTTGAGAGCTGAGCAGCATCCATGTTACTACACAGAAAATAAAAACTGTATCCTGAGATGGATGTTCAGTCCTGAATCCCAACACTTTGCAGCAGCAAATTCCACTGCAGGTTTTCACATGAGTTACCACCTAAATGCAGCACTCATTTCTGTGGCTTTTTTGGGGAATTTTTCCTTGAAGAAAAGTTTCATTTGAAGCTTGTAATGTCAAAGAAACAGATTAATGGGGCTGAACTGAAACATAGAACATCTCTCCCCAACACTCGCCCCCCCCCGCCCTGGCTTTTGGCTTATCCCTCTGCCAATCAGTACACCTCTCCCTGATCCTCTTAGAGCAACCCTGCACCTACACAGGCAGGCCAGAGAAGTGGCAGCTAATCCGTTTACTTTACTTGCTCCATACTAGAACATCAAAGACCACAGACTTTCCTTCACCCAAAGTCCCTTTGCTGGGGACAGGCTCTCAGAAGCTGTAAGTAACTGCACTTGGGGAGATGGAAAAGGAGGATACTGTGTTATTTACCGTTAGTGGAGGGCATTATAAATTAGAATTGCTGTGCTGCTACACTACAGTGGCCCTTTGCACTACTGACATCGGGCTTTCTTCTCCTCAGCTAACTTCTGCATCCAGTCCTTACCCGTGGCAGTGCTTGTTGTGGCAGCACTTGTTGTTCCAGGAGCTTTTAACCCAAACCCAAGCGTCCCAAGACTGGCTGTCCCAGTGGAAGGGGCACCAACTGTCAACAGAAGACAATATGAAGAGTTTGTGGAACCCATTAAAAGAAGTGCCCCTTTGAAAAGCTCTACCCTACCTGCTTACCCACCTCCCTCTGGTCTGTATCTGTATTAACCACAATCACTGCTCAGGTGAAGGATCATGGGGACATGACCTTAAAAAAGGCTGAAGCCATAAAACAGCCGAATACTCTGCAATTCTGCCAGGAACCTTCCAGGAATCAACGCAGGTGCAAAGCTATTGTCATTTCTCTTTAACTGTTTTGATTTCTCTAACATTTAAGTGCTACCGAATGCTAACATAAGCAAAGGATACTGGACACTGGCATGCGGGAAGTGCTACCTTGGCATGAGGCTATTTTGCTAAGGCAATACAATTGCAAATACTAGAGGAAACAGGCTGACCGATTTTCAGTTGCCTGGAAACAACCCACCTATGCTCATCTAAGAACAAGGCTTCAGACATTCTCATAAATGGAGAGTGCCCACTAGCTTAAGAGCAATCTTAAATACTAAGATTAAGGTCTGCTTTGGACAGAAGAGTACCAATGCAAGCCTTGTAGGGCTACTGAAAACACAAGTTGTTAGGCTGGTATATATATGGTACCTACATATTGCAGGTGACTAGTTACAAGTAATCTCTGTGGCTTTAAGAGAAAACTGGTGAACTGCTAAATGTCAGAGGCACAGTAAGACAGCATTATGTATGGAGCAGAGGTATTAACTCTAGTCAACACTGACCTTCGCTGTACAGAGTCTCCATAATCAAAGGGAACTGAAGTGTTAACATCTTATTGCAGGTTGAGAAAGCAAGCTGTTGGTTCTGTCTTCAAACCTGGGCTACTGCCTTAAAGTTATCAGAAAACAAACACTATTTCCTCCCATATAAATAATACTGCAAGACAAAACTTGCCAGTTATTACCAGAGGAGCTTGCACAAATACAGCTGTGTGAACACTCCGTTTTAGCACAGTTCGTCTCCACTGTCAGCCCATGACTCTTAAAGAAGCGTGGATACAAAGAGGGAAGGCAACAAACAGCAAAAAGAGATGCCCTTTGAATCCTGCCATATTACCCCAGCATCTGCAGCTCCACTACTGATAGGGACCACCAAATGTGCTGCTGATTGATTCCCCCATCTGACAGGATCTATATATCAGTACTTACGTGAGAGGCCTGTGGTGGTGGATGATGCTGGGGCCGCAGAACTCGCTACCGATGCAAACAAAGTTGGCCCCGTTGAGCCAAGAACAGAGGTTGTGCTGGTAGAGGTGGTTGTAGCAGATGTGGACGTTACTGCAAACAGAAAAAGCATCCACCTTGTACAACCAAACCACCTCATGCTCTCACCCTTTTCAGAAGACTCATGTTCAGAATGGGACACAAAATGGCCCATCTACACCACGTTTTTTATGGGTGAAAGAATTTTAAGCTACTTTTTGAGGTGGAAAAACCTCAACGCTGTTTTCTCAGTGTACGCATCACACCTGTGGCTACCCTCCGTTACACCCCAACAACAAGTATGGAACAGAACTTATCACATAGGACGCAATAAAAAATAGAGAGGATACAAAGCCCAATGACTGTATGAACTGCCACAGTTTAGTGACACCACTGCAAATTCACAGCAACAAACACTTGCAGCTCATTTTCAGAGTACAGCTTAGATAACTGTTCCCACAAGGAACAGCAGATTCACAAAGCCTTGAAGAATTATTCCCCAAAATCACTTCCTACCTCCAAGTTTGGCTCCAAACGACAGAGTGGGTCCCGAGCTGGTACTTGTGGTCAGTGTTGCCGTCGGGGCACTAGTGGCTGCAGTGGAAGTTAATGACCCGAAGTTCAGGCCTGGAACAAGTGGCATAGCAAAAGGAGAAGACAGACCTTTTACAACAGAGACACTGTAGCTTCCACTGACCACAGCAACGGTCACATTAGAAGCAACAAAGGTACAAAAGCCACTCGCTTTGTTGCACACTGGCAGAAGCAGAAGCTGCAGAACCTCCCCGGCTGCCCTCCCTGCTGACAGGATTCCTGACTACAGCGGCCATCCCAAGGCCAGCACTCACCTGTGCTCTGCCCCCCAAGGCTGAAGGGGGCTGCAGACTGGGTTGCAGCTCCCAACGTGGCAGCAGAGGTGGCAGCAGCTGCAGGTGCTGCTCCAAAGCTCAGCCCCGTGGGCGCTGTCTGTGGCGCTGCAGCACCGATGCTCAAGTTGGCTGCTGCGGCCTGAGTCGTGGTGCCGCTGGAAAAGGTAAACCCTGCAGTGGTCCCAGACTGAGCCGTGGTGCTCGTGCCAGCGGATCCAAACGCAAAGCCAGAAGGAGCTGCTGCTTGACTCGAGGGCGTGCTGGTCAGTGCCGAGCTACCGAACGCAAAGCCCCCTGTGATTCCTGTGGCTGGAGTTGCAGCACTGCCTCCAAAGCTTAATTTGGGTGCATTTGACCTAAGGAAGAATGGAAAGAGACCAGCTGGAGATGTACATCCACTCAATACTGAGTCAGGTTTCTTACAGGCCACTTCCTGACAGCAGAAACCAACATTCAGAACACACACAACTGACCAGGCTTGCGTTTCGGTTTTGACAAAGGCTATATGGCAGCTCCTGCCATCTGCAACCCTCTGTTAAGCCTCTTTATACTACACCCCCTTGACTACCTCCACCCATACGGGCACCAGGACACATTTATAGCAGTGCAAGCGAAGTTGCTTATTCTCTGGGCTCTTCAGCGCCCTTTCCGCATCCCCTACATAACACTTGTTTTAATTAAATTCCACTGCTAGTCCCTGTGTGAGCTCCCTTCCCACTGCTCCCATCTGCCAGGCTTTGACAACAGCAGCTCCAAAGAATCGCTTCAAAGCTGCAGCCTTTCCTAAGGAAAAAAAAAACCCAAACCCAGTCCTACTTGGCTGAAGAAACATTCTGGGCACACCAGATTTGGATGAGAAAGGACAAGACGTTTTATGCTTAATCTTAAAACCCATTAGAAAAAGCCAGCATTGACAAGCGCGGGCCTCGCTGAACTCGTTTCCAAACATACAACAGTGCAACGGGAACTGCACGGCACAACAGCAACAGGCTCCCCCTTTAAGAATCACGTTCAGACCACTGCAGAGCTCCAAGGGGTCCCCGCCCCTGTCCCGCCGCCCCGCTCCTCTCACCCCAGCTGGAACACGCTCGCTGCCGGAGCCGCGCTGCTCGTGGCCGCCGTCCCGAAGCTGAAGCCGGCGGGCTGCGCGGCGGTGGCCGCAGGCCTGCTGAAGGAGAACAGCCCGGAGGACTGGCTGCTGGCGGCCGGCTGCGCCGCGCTCCCGAAGCTGAAGCCCCCCGAGCCCGCGGGCGTGGATGACGAGAAGGAGAAGCCGCTCGCGGCCGTGCTGGCGGCCGTGCTGGGCGTGCCCAGAGTGAAGCCGCCGCCCGTCCCGAAGCTGAACTGGCTCATGGCGGCGGCGGGACCACGGACCGGGCCCGTGCAGCGGCACCGCGCCTGCAGCACCGGCAGCCGCGCGTTCCGATGACGCACGGCACCGCCGCGCTGCGCCCGCCCCTCTCTCCCGCCCCCCAACCATCGCCCGGGGCTTCCCGCCGACGGCAGCGATTGGCTCGTCCCGCCGCCGCTCGAGGTTGGCGTGCTCCGATTGGCTGACCTGGCTAGAAGGGGAGGGTCGGGTCAGCGGCGCCCCGTTGCTACGGAGACGGGGGACGCGGCCGGTTGTAGCCCCCGAGCGGCGGCACCGGGGCCTTCGGGTGCTGCGGCCGCTGGAGCCCGGCCCGGGACCGCCGCTACTGTGCCTGCGTAGGTGAGCAGTGGTTACCGATACGGACAGCGTTTCCTCAGCCCCTTCGCTGCATTTCCTTATCAAGCTGCTTTGGGATGCTCGGGAAATGATGAACACAGTGAGTTTTTCATAAGAAATGCTGTGATTTACATATTGCTCCATAGCCCAGCATTAGCGACTGAGAACCAAATTTCTCCCTGCCCCACAGTGATAGAAAAAAAAGAAAAAAGAAAAAAGAGGAGAACCTCACAAAGGTTTGGACTGAAAGAGGTATAAGGTACTTTTAGGATAACAAGCCCCTGAGGGAGAGAGTACAGAAGATACCCCACAGAAAGGAGAGACTGTGACCACAAAATGGAAGAGAAACCTTTCAGCCCAAGGGAAATAATATCATCTGCTTTATCACACATCACCAAAATGCAGTGACAAGCCAATGCCTATTAGGAAGTTTTACAGCAGACCCATACACCTTTCCTGCATCCTTGCAACCTGCACTACAAATCACCACACAAGTACCATCGTTCTACTGGCACATCTAGTCTTTTTTATTTGTACAGAAATGCTGCTTACAGGTACCAGCACAAAAGCAGGTTAAGGTCAGAGTACAGAAAACAAGGCCCACTTTCACCAGTGGAAGCACACCCAATATGAACACAAACTCCAGCCAGCAGTAACAGGATCCAGTCTCAGACTGCTGCAGCTCCTTCTGAGGACATCTCTTCGTTAAACCTTCTCTCTAAGGTCCTGAATAAATGATCATCAAGTCCCACTTAACCATACCCAGGTTATACTGCAGCACGGGAGGGCTCAGCCAGGGAGTCACCTACTGCTTAAGTCCTTCAGGGGCAGCATTTGAGTTTCTCACCACTCTGCAGGCAGTTACAAAGAACAAAGAGCACAGACTTTGTGCACAAACCTCATGCAGTCTCAGACTGGAGTGGGTGAGTTCCAGACAGACACTGCAAACACTGGCTCTGGAACAAACAACACATTTTACTGCAAGAAAAGAAACCCATGTAATGATCTGAGACCTGGGTCCCCAAAAACCTCTTTTCTGTGGAGATTTTAGGTTGATCCATTAAACTGAAGCATTCAATCAAACGTGATCCGAAAACTGCGCTCTTGCTCCTTGCGGCGGCTCTCACAAATCTTTGTCACCTCTTCTACCTTCCTCTGCAACATGGCTGTGGGACAAACAAGAGATTAACCTTAGAATCACCCTAAACCACAACCCTGCAGAGTTTAGCTTGCAGAAGGAGAAAGAAAACCACTGTCCTTTGTTTTTGACACTCAGCCTTGATAGTGCACAAAGGAGGAGGAAATTCCAACACAAAACACTGGTAATCCTCCAAGGCAAAGAATAGCTTCTGGGAAGTATTCTGAGGCATTCAGGCCAGGTTGGACAGAGCCTTGGGTGTCCTGGTTTAGTGTGAGGTGTCCCTGCCCATGGCAGGGGGATTGGAACTGGATGATCTTAAGGTCCTTTCCAACCCTAACTATTCTGATTCTTTGATTCAGGGACTTGCAGGCAGAACCAGAAGAGAGCTGGGACATCCTGACGCTGTTTGGCATGCCAGTGTGTGTTGCTGTTTGAGGGCACTGCAGAGAGCAGAGAATACCCTCCCTGCACAGAAACTGCAAAAGCTGGTCTGCAGCTTGAGCAAAAGCTATTGCTCTGTAAAAGTTTTCTCTTCTCACCTCCTGCTAAAATTTGCTCCGAGTTACACATATTACAGATGAACTACACCATCTGTTCAAAGCACACACATATTTTCTTGCAGGATATCACACAGCCATAACAAGCCTTTAACTTACCAACAGAGATTCTGTAAGTTCTGGGAATACAGAAAAGACGGTGCAATCGCACAGGAGAGCTGCAGAGCACTTGCAGCCACAACACAGATGAGCTGCTATTTGTACATCCCCAACTTAGGAATACATAAGGCACTGAATGATCACCAACTTTAAACACAGCAGCTATCACAACATACAAAAATATCTTGGAACAAGCTATAGCAATTTCCAGTTTCATTCCATGAAATCTTACCATAATCCACAGGGCTGGCTACAGCATTATGCCAGCCTGGGGCTTAGAGACTCCAGGTTACATGTTATTTCATATAACACATCAAACCCAGAATCTTCCATAACATATTAACCAACACATTCCAGTTTGTTCCTTTTCAAATATTGACCATGCAAGAAATGATTATGGCAGAAGATGGCAGGGTGCTTCCCTGCCTCATAGATCTCTCGCTCAACTTGGAATTCAGTTGTAACTACAGAAGAGAAGACTTGCTGTTTCTCTCAGGAAGAGCTAGAAGGTCAGAACAAGGCTTTGTCCAAACACTCCTTTCCATTGTGGAAGCAACACCACCCTTCATCTATGTTCAGCAAGCGGTGGCATTTTCAATGACTGCCACAGTTGCACATCATTGTTTAACAGGTCAGCTCAGTTAATAGCCACTGTGTAGAGGTATGCCTACTACTCACTGGAGTGCATACAGCACCAGGAATGCTGCTCCTTGTGTAGGACCCCACAGGAACAGATAGACACATTAACCTTTTTGAGGAACTGCAGTTTCTTCAGCTTATTGCTTTTGTCTTGCCAGAAGGTGAACTGAGTGTGAACTGCTTCTGTAGAGGTACATGGCCCAACAATGACTCATTATTAACTGACAAGACTCTTTGGTACTGAATGACAGAGGGGAAAATGGGTCTCCTTGCTGCAAAAATTGAAAGGAAGTAGACTGCCATTTTCACACATCCAGTAAAGTCAATTTGGATCCACAGGAGCTGCACCAGATTTCCAGATAAAGGCAAGATTGGAATGTGGAAGTTAGCATACATGTTCTGGAGGAAAAGGACAAATTCACCCCTGACTTAAGCCAGTCATACTGTTTAATAGGGACAGCAGTGTGCCTGCTTTCAGCCAAGCAGTACACCAAGTGTGAGCACTTTCACAGCACTGCAGGCAGACAGTGCAATTCGGTGCCACTGAGAGGAGCTCTGCTTTATTCTGCCATGCCCCCCTGTGGCTGCTGGCACCAGTGACAAATCAGAACCGTGTAGAATTCTTGAACCCCTCACCAGGAGGCACTGCCTGTTTGCTTTTAGTAGGGCACCATCCTACACTAGCTAAAGGTGAACTCAAGACAAGAAACGACACCAAGTACTCAATCAGGTCTTCACTAACGAGTGCATCTTCTGCTCTGTGCTACACCTCAACTTACTGCTCCTGTGAAACTTCCACACTGGAGCCCCAGAGTGACACAGCCTGCAGATACATGCACACTGCTCAGTCTCACCTGGATTTGGCTTTCCCATTGGGGTGGGTGCATGCGAACATTAACCACACGCAACCCCCTCACACATTTTCATATTTTAAATGGAAACCCCACAACAGTTTAGAGGTTGAAATATTTAACATTAGTTTGACAGAACAAAGCACAAGGTTTTCAAGTCTCTGCTTTGCACTGATACGTTTCAATCTGTCCTTTTCATAGAATCGTAGAATGGTTTGGGTTGGAAAGGACCTTAAGATCATCCAGTTTCAACCCCCCTGCCATGGGCAGGGACACCTCACACTAAATCAGGGCACCCAAGGCTCTGTCCAACCTGGCCCTCAACACTGCCAGAGATGGAGCATTCACAACCTCCCTGGGCAATCAATTCCAGTGCCTCACCACCCTTACAGTAAAGAACTTCTTCCTTATATCTAACCTGAACTTCCCCTGTTTCAGTTTAAACCTATTTTTGGGAACACACTGGCAGTTACCAGGAATTCTCAGCAGAAGCCTCAATTGCACATCAGAATTCAAGCACAAAAAGGACAGTATCACTGAAAGTGAGGGGAAGAAGGTATCTCAGGGACCTTCAGGAATTCGTTTGTGTTCAAGAAACATTTGCACACATGCTCCATGTTTTCTATATGCATTCCCAAAAAGCTGCAAGACAACTCTCACCTGAGTTCTGGTCAATCCACTGCAATGAATCCATGTGTGCATTCAGGATCTTACAGATCTGCTGAAGCTGAGCACAAAGAGAAGGTGCAAGTCATTTCTTACACTACATAAAAACTAGGAGCAGTAAAAGACAAAAACTCACTGTCCCTGCCTTTGGAACACCATGCAACCCAGAGTCTCATATGTACAGCTCTGCTAACTTAGCAGCCACTGCCCCAGGGGAAGTCTGTGCAGCAACTTTCTTCTCTTTACCATAAGGAAAAGAGACTGGTTTGGTGCCTGTGGCTGCAGCTTATTCCAATTCAGACCCAGCAACCACATCCATCACCACATTAGACTTGAGGTGGCAAAGTAAAAATGGGAAAAACTCGGTCTGCAACAGTGAAGGGAAATTTTACTACAAGAAAGAAGCAAGTAGTGGAGCAGGAAGCCACATCAAGGTTAAGAACTGCCTCTGAAACAAGCTGTCATCTTGGCAAAAGTAAGGCATCAAACAAATAACCAGGGCTCCTACAGAACGTGGTACTTTGAAACCTAGTCATAGAACTGCAGAGTAACTATGTGTGCCAGGCTGGTTGTGCTGTTATAATGCCAGTTTTATGACAAGAGAACCAATCCAAGGAAAACAAAACACCGCTCCCAGGTTGAAACTGGAAGCAGACAAGCACCCAAAAGTGGACAAAGAGTTAGAATGGTTTAAATATC